ACACCCCTTAATTCGAACTAGTAAGTTCGAACTAGGCTTAATCCTCGTAAAATGAGGTTTTCCTAGTTCGAACTAAGCGCTCCGCTAGTTCGTTTTAAATTCGAACTAACGGAGCGCTAGTGTAGCACCTATGAATGTTAGTTAGAACTAACGTCCGTTAGTTCGAACTAACATTGTAGTGTAGACATACCCTAAGCCTGTAACATTGTACATATGATTCTTTTCAGGAAAATAAAAGCTTTTTGCTTGCAGGAACAGTAACTGGCCAACCAACACCTTGTGCTAAGGAAAAGCATTTATAGCCTCACACATTAAGCCTGATCAGTGGTAAGGACAAGAAGGAAACTGATGCAAGCCACTCACAGAGCTCCAGGAAGGTGTCCCTCTTCATCCTGAAGTTCTGGGTTCACTGTTGGTCTCCCCAACGCTCCAGGATGATGCGGTCCCACCAGTCACTGCTGGTGTCCAGATGCCAGATGCAGCGGGGCACGCTGGCATCTGGGCACTACTGGGGCTCCTGCATGGCCCTCAGGGAGGCTAGAGGGAGGGGCAGGGGGCTGACGTGCACTAGGTGGTGCCAGGCAGCCTCCAGCCATAGCTGGCAGGCTTGCAGCAGCAAGACCACAAACTGGACCAGAATGCCCAGGGCAAGCTCTGGCTCCATGGTGCCAACTGTGGCGGTATCCCCCATGAGAACCACCAACACAGAGAGGTGAAGAGGAAAACTCTTTGCTGTCCCCTGGCGAGGTAGGAAAGCAATCAGGAAAGCTGAGAACTGGCTGTCTGGGGAGGTCCCTGTAAGCACGAGCCTCAGATAGCCTCAGACAGCAGTCACACAAAGCAACTACTGACCTGATGCCCTGCTGGAACTGGTTTGAGCTGCCCTTAAATGCGCCCCTGCGTCCAATCAGTGTGGACGCTCTAATTCAAATTAGTTTTTAGGTCTAGATGCACTAATTCGAATTAGCTTATTTCGAATTAACTAATTCGAATTAAGTTAATTCGAATTAGCACTGTAGTGTAGACATATCTTCTGTTACTTTACTTCCCTAAAACAGGTTATTATTGGTCATCCAATTAAATTCTGGTGTTTTGCTTACATCTCCTGTATCTTATCAATGCTTCTTTTCCTTTTCTTACCACTAACCTAGTGCTCATTTGACATTCTGGGTAGGCTTTACCCAGGCTTTACCACATCCTTTCACACCTTTGAAAAATACCTAAGGCTGCTGTCAGAACGGGTTGTGGTTGTAATAAAACTTTGAAATTATTACATTTAAAATGCTGCACAATCTCTGGTGATGTATGATTATCTGGTGCATGGCAACTTTAACCAGCTCATCAAAGGATTTGAAACTGGGCTTTTCTGATGCAACCAAACTGTAGGGTGGTGTCCCATAAATGTTCAATACATCTTATCATCCTCTACATCATTCCTGATAAATTAGTGAGATAATCTGTTTGAGTACTGAATCCAGTCCTCCTGCTATATGTTGTACTTTCCCTTTTCCCTATGCAGATTTTTTTTTTGCAGTTTTTTAAAAATGTTTTGTTTCAAGTGACAACCCTATGAGTGATCGACTTTTAGGTGAAGCAGTGCCTCCCTGCACCTGGGATATGAGATCTTTATCAGCAGTGCCAGTTGGAGCACACATAGGGCATTTCCCCTCACACCCAGACAAATCCAAGGGAACTCCTTCCTGCCTGGGACTTTCATGAGTGTGTGTGGTGCCTGGAGTGGGGGGAGGAGAGGAAGGAAGTAGAGGGGGAGAGGAGAAGGTGAGATGGGGATCCTAGCTCCAACCTCTCCCACACCTCAAACCACTCATCTGCATCTTGCAGTCTGTACCCCAGCTCTCTGTCCCAACCCTGAGCACCTCTTACACTCCAAATCCCTCATCCCCAGCTTCACCCCAGAGCCAGAGTCTTGAGGGGACAGGACTTGGACCCACTCTGGACACCACCAAAATTATACAAACCTGTTGCTTCTGTTACCAGAGCCACGTCTATTCATCTGCTAGATACTGCCTTACCTTTAAGTGTAGCATAGTTAGCAATTTCTTCTTCTCCTTAAAAAAGTTTCTTTTGTTTAGTTTTACCTCTACAGTTGTCTCATAACTTACATTTTTGTTTTCCCTTTTTCTCTCCCTTCCTGACCTTTCCCTATCACTCTCATACCTAGATCCCTGAGGTTTAAAAGGTGGATTTCTTAGACTCATAGGATATGTCTACACTAGCCTCCTAGTTCGAACTAGGGAGGCTAATGTAGGCATTCGAAGATGCAAATGAAGCGCAGGATTTAAATATCCCAGGCTTTATTTGCATCTTTCCATCCGGGCACTGGGTGGAATGAGGTGTAACAGTTAACTCGAACTAAGAACTTAGTTGGAGTTAATGTTTGACTGCCACGTGTAGCCGCGGGCAGTTAGTTCGGACTAAAGGGATTTAAAAATGGCGCCTGGATGGGAAGATGCAAATAAAGCCCAGGATATTTAAATCCTGGGCTTCATTTGCAACTTCGAATGCCTACATTAGCCTCCCTAGTTCAAGCTACATTAGCCTCCCTAGACATACCCTTAGGGTTTAAAAAGTGATGTAATTGATAAGTGTATTTACATACTAACTAAGGTTAAAAAGGTATGCCTGTGGTTAATTTGTTTCTCACTCGGATCCCAAGGTTGGGGTGCTCCAATACGGAATGAGTATCTGCAATAAAGAAGCCTGTTTATTCCATTTGCCTCTGGATAACCTGTTCTTTTCTAACAATATGGTAAAGTGATGACATTTACATTGCAATGCTGTAGCATCCATAATGTCCTCTTGAAACAGGTGTCATCTTGAAACAATTAGATAGCCTGGTGATTTCAACAGCATTGTGTCAGATTTGCTGTTCGCTGAACTGTATAGCAAATGCCCTACCAAATCTTTATGATAAAATATGCTTGTGTTATACTAATCTCTTGGAAAAAAGGTTTTTGTTCTCCCCTCAGTGCCAGAATGGAATTTTTAATTCCACCTAGCATTACAATATTCTTACAATGGAACCTGAACCCTAAAGACTCATTTCCAGGAGATGCTCTCATGCCACATTTTATTAATGACAAAAGGCAATATTTTCACTAATGCTTATATGTCTTAGAATCACAAATTTTATTCTCTTTCAAGGTTTTAAGTCTCCAAAATCACTTTGGTTCTTTTTAAAATTTTTACTTGTCAGAAATTGCATGTTAGCATTGTGTGTTGCCTTGAATGTAAGTGATGTATTAAAAACATGAAGAAATCTTTGTAATTTTTATTATTCCAGACTTCTGCAGGATGTGCGTGGCTTGATTAGTTGACAATGTGTCCACTTGCACACATGAAGCAGTAAAATCATTACTTTTACTGATTGTGACAGCAGTTAGTATGTCAAACCCAGTTGCTATGTTCATGACATTTGGTATCACTATTTTTGTAGGTATTGATGCTATCCACATGTGAAGTCATATATGCTGTGAGAATACTATAGCTCTCATTGGGACTGATCCAAAGCCCACTGAAATAATTTGGGAGTCTTCCCATTAAGTTCAGCCAGCTTGGTATAAGGATTATGCTTCCTCACAATACCATGTTTTTCTTTATTTAGTAGGATAGACCACTCAGACATATTCACTAACCTGATAGAATGACATAGAGCAGTCATCTACAATGGTATACTTTTAAATGCCTTGTACAATGCTGCTGGAGTGGGGTACAGTGAAGCTACAGAATTTTTAGATCCGAAGCAATAGCAGTGTATCAGTTCATTATTAAAAAAAGGAAGAGATAAAAAGATTAAATAAAATTGGCCCCAAAACTGATCCCTGAGGAACTCCGCTAGTAACCTTCCTCCAACCTGACAGTTCACCTTTCAGTATGACCTGCTGTAGTCTCCCCTTTAACCAGCTGCTTATCCACCTCTCAACTTTCATATTAATCTCTATCTTTTCTAATTTAACCAATAATTCCCCATGTGGTACTGTATCAAATGCCTTACTAAAGTCGAGGTAGATTAGATCCACTGCATTTCCTTTATCCAACTTTCTGTAAGTCTTTCACTTCCTTCTCTGAGGCTGCACTATTGTAACACACTTAAGCAAATACTTACTACATGGTTAGGTCCAATTGGAGTCAAGTTTCCCATTTTATGAACATCAGCATATGCTCTAGGCTGTATATTTACCTCTTTTAACTCTGTTTCATTTTACTCTAGCCTCAGGCTCTGCACCTCACATCTCTGTTGATGGTCACCAGGATGGAGGGATCCAAGTGGTGTGTCAGTCGGCTGGATGGTATCCAGAACCCGACGTGCTGTGGAGAGATTCAACTGGGCAGTCTTTATCGTCATCAACTGAAACAAAATCCAAGGATGAACGTGGGCTCTTTGAAATAAAAAATTCTATCATTATAACAGAAAATTCAAACCAGAATTTATCTTGTTCTATAAGAAACACCAATCTGAGACAAGAAAAGAAATTAATAACTTTTTATATATCAGGTCAGTTACCACCAAACCTACACACTATTATACCAACAGTAAAACAAATCAGATTGCTAAATAACTCAAAGGTTAAAATATTCCCTCATAAAAAGCTAAATTTAAGATAAAGATAAGGTTGAAATTAGGATAAAGTACTTTCCAGGGAAATTGTAGTTATTCCAGAAAAAAAATTAAATTCAGGAAATTGAGAAATTCATGTAGACACGTGTGTGTGTGTGTGTGTGTGTGTGTGTGTGTGTGTGTGTGTGTGTGTGTGTGTGTGTGTGTTAGGGTTTTCTTTCAGTCACCACAGGACAGTGTTAAGGTATGTTGAGGACACTATTGATTGAATCGACTTTCTGCCTCCTGGTGGACTGGTGGATCAAGGAGTAGGAGATATGATATGCTGAACTTTGAACATAGAAACATTTATGACTGTTGAGTTTCTGCTCATGGAGGATTAGAAACAAGGTATTCTAAGAAAGCCTGGAGCCCTGGGAACAGTGATTTCAGTGTATGACTCAGTACAAGGTTCAAGGTTTAATAAGACATTTGATTTCTCACCCTTTAGCAAACTTTACACAGGGAAAAGGGTTGCCATAACAACAAAATCCTTTGTGCCTGATCCAAAGCCCATTGAAGACATCACACTCCACCTACACTCTACCCCCTTTCCCTAAGACCGCATCTTCACATTCCCTTTTCCTGTTCCTACTCTGCTTCTTCCGCATTTTTAAAATTGATTTCTGCCCATTTTTATATTTCAAGGAAGCAATTTTTTCTACACATATTTCATACCAATCCTGATGTGATGTATATTTATAGAATACATGTATATTGTTGATTTAATATTTCCAAACTAATGTGGGCTTTGTGTTTCAGATTCCTTTTTTCCAAGAGTCTCTCTGTGTATGGTGGCTATAAGTGTGATCCTGGTGATTTTGTTGGTATTCATCAGCCTTACTGTTTTTCTATTCTACTTAAGAGGTAAAACTCTAATGTCAGAATGAGATTTTCTCCTTAGAAAATATAGTTAAAATTTATCTATATAAGAAAATTACATGAGATAAAGGTGTGAATTTACATTGATTTTTTAAACTAATACAAACCACTCTGTGGACACATATAAGAGAAGTTTATTTCAGGGTATCTTAAACTCTTTCCTGTTCATTTTAAAATAAGCCTAACACCAGTTTAATTAGATTTTCAATAGAGCCTGAAGAAGTTAGGTTAAAATCATAGAACTGGAAGGGACCTCAGGAGATTATCAAGTCCAACACTCTGCTAAAAGCAGGACCACACCCAACTAAATCATCCCAGCCAGGGCTTTGTCAAGCCAGGACTTAAAAACCTCTAGGGATGGAGATTCCACCCCCTCTATGGGGAACCCAGCCCAGTACTTCACCGCCCTTACTAGTTAAATAATTTTTCCTAATGTACAACCTAGACCTCCCCCCCACGTAACTTGAGACCATTGCTCCTTGTTCTGCCATCTGCCACCACTGAGAACAGCCTCTCTCCAACCTCTTTGGAACCTCCCTTCAGGAAGTTGAAGGCTGCTCTCAAATCCCCCCTCACTCTTCGCTTCTGAAGATTAAATAAAACCAAATCCCTCAACCGCTCCTTGTAGGTCATGTGCTCCAGACCCCAAATCATTTTGATTGCCTTCTATTGGACCCTCTCCAATGCGTCCACATCGTTTCTATAGTGGGGGGCCCAGGACTGGATACAATACTTCCAATGTGGCTTTAACAGTGCCGAATAAAGGAGAATAGTCACTTCCCTAGTCTGCTAGCAATGCTCCTCCTAATTCATCACAATATGCTGTTAGCTTTCTTGGCTACAAAGGCACATTATTGACTCATATCCAGCTTCTCATCCACTGTAACCCGCAGGTCCTTTTCTGCTGAACTGCTACTTAGCCATTTGGTCCCCAGCCTGTAACAGTGCTTGGGATTCGTCCATCCCAAGGGCAGGACTGTGCACTTGTCCTTGTTGAACCTCATCAGATTTCTTTTGGCTCACTCCTCCAATTTCTGTAGTCACTCTGGAGCCTATCCCTACCTTCCAATGGGTCTACATTTCCCCCTAGCTTAATGTCATCTGTGAACTTGCTGAGGGGGCAATCCACCCCCTCATCCAGGTCATTAATGAAGATATTGAACAAAACCGGCCCTAGAACCTATTCTTGGGACACTGATTGAAACTGACTGCCAACCAATCAGTTGATCACTGCCCTCTGAGCCCAACAGTCTAGCCAGCTTTCTATCCATGTTACAATCCATTTATCCAATCCATATTTCCTTAACTTGCTGGCAAGAATATTGTGAGAAATAGTATCAAAAATTTTGCTAACGTCAAGGCATATCACATCCACCACCTTCTCCATGTCCACAGAGTCAGTGACCTCATCATAGAAGGCAATCAAGCTGGTCAGGCATGACTTATTTTAGTGAATCCACACTGACTATTCCTGATCACTTTCCCCTCTTCCAAGTGTCTCAAAATGGATTCCTTGAGGATCCCGCCATGATTTTTCTGGGGACTGAGATAAGGCTGACTGGTCTGTAGTTCTTGGGTTCTCCTTCTTCTCATTTTTAAAAATGGGCACTACATTTGCCTTTTTTCAGTAGTCTGGGATCTCCCCTCATGTCCACACCTGAAATTCACTGTGATTTGGGCTGCTAGTACCCTTGACTCCTAAGCAAATCTTTGCCTTATGGAGTTTGTAACATATAATTCTATTCTATTCAAAACAAATTACAATATTAATGAATGATTTAAATTTTATTTATGTTTTCTTTTTTAGGGAAGCAACTTGATGCTATCAGTAAGTTCCATTTTAATCCTGGTAGTACCACTCTTACGGTATGAAAGATTTTTGAATGAATGTGACACTGTCAACTTGAAAATCATAAGCAATAATACCAATATTAATTGCATAACTTGTGTTGGTAATGGATAGGAAGCCAGTATTGTACTGCACTTGATGCCCATGGCAGAAATAATACTATGCGAGCTCCATATAAACAGCTTCTCAGTTGGATTGGTGGTAGCCAAGGACTGAGGTGAGGATGTGGCCACTGAGGTCAGGATTATGTACACTGAGTGCCCTCAGCCCTGACAAGGCATGTCTATGGGACAAAGTTGAATTAAGATACACAATTTCAGCTATGTTAATTGCATAGCTGAAGTTGAAGTACCTTAACTTGACTTTTGGAGCCATCCACACATCAGGAAGTTGAAGGGAGAGCACTGTTTCTTCAACTTCCCTTACTCCTCCTTGAAGCAGGACTACCAGCATCAACCAGAGCACCCCTCTTAGTTTGCATTAGCGTGTCTTCACTAGACCTGCTAATTCGAATCCTGGAAGATTGACAGCAACAGCTTCAATCTTCCTCTGTAATGTAGACGTACCCACAAGTAGTAAATGCTTGTGTGTTATAATTGTGTCCTTTCATCCAGCTTAAGGCTAGAATAATGTCCACTGAGAGATTTCAGGCTACCTCCTGTCTCTCCTTATAGACCTGCACTGGGTTAGACCTGTAGGCTACGTCTAGACTGGCATGATTTTCCGGAAATGCTTTTAACGGAAAAGTTTTCCGTTAAAAGCATTTTCAGAAAAGAGCGTCTAGATTGGCAGGAAACTTTTCCGCAAAAGCACTTTTTGCAGAAAAGCGTCCGTGGCCAATCTAGACGCGCTTTTCCGCAAAAAAGCCCCAATTGCAATTTTCATGATCGGGGCTTTTTTGCGGAAAAGAAATCTCTGCTGTCTACACTGGCCCTTTTGCATAAAAGTCTTTCGGAAAAAGACTTTTGCCAGAATGGGAGAAGCATAGTATTTCTGCAAAAAGCACTGATTTCTTACAGTAGGAAGTCAGTGCTTTTGTGGAAATTCAAGCAGCCAGTGTAGACAGCTGGCAAGGTTTTCTGGAAAAACTGGCCAGTCTAGACACAGCCGTAATGTAGCTTTCAATAGTGACATAACAATGTCACTTATCCTGAGTTCAATACCTATGATTGTACTGATCCAAAACAATGTACAGTAGACAGGCCTAAATGATCAGTAACTGGGGGAAGATAGCACTTAATTTCAGTTAGAAGAAGCTTTTATAAGATATCCTTCTCTTTCTATTATTCAGGTAAACTTCACACCGAGTTAGGTAAGGGTATTTTTAGTGTTGTTGTTTTCTCTTTATAATGCAGCCTTTGCTGTGACAATGACCCTATTGATACTGAATTTGTCTGGTATAGTTCTCATCCTCATCTACATGTTTTCTTTCAGACTGGAGAAGATCCCTTAGTGACTCAGGTAATTATAACTCACATTTAATCAATGGGAAATCCTGCTCTCTTTCAGTGTAAACAACTTTCAAAAGAAGCTTTTTCAGAAAAGATCTTCTTAAAAATCTTCTTTTGAAAGAGCACGTCCACACTTCAAAAGCATATAGAAAAAGCCATCTGCTTTTTCAAAAAAGAGCGTCTACACTCATTGGACACTCTCACATAAAAGGCCACCTGGAACCACTTCATGAAGCCCTACACTGGCCACCTGGACACCAGCAAGGAATAATTCAAGAAGCTTTTTCAGAAAAGATCTTCTTAAAAATCTTCTTTTGAAAGAGCACGTCCACACTTCAAAAGCATATAGAAAAAGCCATCTGCTTTTTCAAAAAAGAGCGTCTACACTCATTGGACACTCTCACATAAAAGGCCACCTGGAACCACTTCATGAAGCCCTACACTGGCCACCTGGACACCAGCAAGGAATAATTCAATAAGCACCTGAACTGGGCCTACATGCAGGTGGAATGCGCCTGTGGGCACCTCAAGGCCGGGTTCAGGTGCCTCAGTGTGGAGCAGTGCAACACCCCTAAGATGGTCTCTGAATGTTGCGTGCTCCATAACCTGGTGGGGAGCAAAGGTGAGGCCTTCCTCCCGGGGTGGGACACAGAGTCTGGTCGCAAGGGAAGGATCTTTGAACAGCTGCAGACAGCTGCCATCCACCGGGCCCATCTGGCCGGGGCACACATCTGAGAGGCCCTGAGAGAGAGGTTCTCTGAAGGAGCCCAGTAACTATCCCCAGGGCCTTCCTAGTGGGGGCTTGTGCCTTGCCCCCGATACCTTTCCCATCACAACCTAATTAATAAAGACACCAGATTGGGTTTCAACAAAAAGCTTTATATGTTGTTCTTTATACTTAAAGTAAATGGAGTGGAGGGGGCTGAGAACCTGGAGGGGCAAGGGAGGAGGGGGGCTCAGACCTGGGATTATTGAGTGGAGTGCCTGCAAGTGCTGCCTCAAGTCCGGGGACCTTGAAGAACTTGGGGTTGGTAGGGCCTGGAACAACAGGGGAGTGGGCAGGAGAGGGGAACTGCAGTAGGGTCAGGGATGGCAGGAGAAGCAGGAGCAGGGGGAATGGGAGCAGGGAGAGCAGGAACAGGGACAGGACCCGGGTGTGCCATCACTTCCCAGATGTTTTCACCCTGCTGCACAAGTTGGTCCCACATGCGATTGCACCACTCGGCGTCATCGCGGACCTTTTTGGGCCAGCGTCTGCTGCATGTCTCACAGGACTGCAATGTGCTCTTGCATGAGGTCCTAGTGCAGCCTCCACCAATTGCAGCTCCCCTGGCTTTGGTCAGCTGAGTGGGCTGGTGTGGATCACCCCTCAGCAATGGCTGGTCCAGCTGTGGAGAACAAAAGGGAAAGGAAGTCAGTCATCCATGCAGACACTGTCCCTGAGGGCATGCCCTCCTCTGTGAGCAGCGAGAAACTGTCTTTGGAACAGGGGATGGTGATGTCCTGGGAGGAAGGCCACATATGGCCTGCACAGCAGGCCTAGCCTCAGAGGAGCCCTGAGGTGCCATGGGGACCATCCTGCTCACTTCCCGCCCCTCCCTGCCGCCCATGGACAAGCAGGCCAGGGAAGTGTCCGGCTACAGTGGGATCCCATGTGTGGGAGAAGGGCCTGGAGTGGCCTGGCCTTCCTTGCCCTCCCCCCCACACCTGCACCAGGCAGTGCTGTCTGCATGAGCAGGTGGCGCCTCGTGCGTGCAGGCATGGCCACAAGCTACGTGCAACACTCCTCGGTCGGTTTAGCATTGTGCGTGTGCCCTTGTGCCCAGCCTAGTTCCAGCAGTAGCTGGAGGGGGAAAGACGTCCTTCCTAGGGGCTGGATGTGCGTGGACCACTCCCCAGGCTGTGAACAGCAGCCTGTGTGTGCTCTCGGGCTGGTTTCTGAGACCACATGGTGCCCACTGCCGCTGCACGTGCTTGCACATGCACAACCAACTGCACGCTGTCCAGGCCGAGCATGTTGAGTGACGATCGCGCCCCATTCCCTGTACTTCCACCTCCCCCACCCTGTGTGTGTGACAACCTGACAGCACTCACCTGATGATCCCTCCCTGGCGTCAGATGATGCCTGGGAGATGTCCAAGGCCTGGGATACCAGCTGCAGGTTGAGGGTAACGATGCTGGTGGTGTCCTCCTCCTCCTACAGCTGATGTCCATCGTCGTCCTCCTCCTCTTGCTCCTCCTCCAGAAGCTCAGGCCAGGCGACCACGGGTGTCTCTAAGCCCGAGTCCACCAGAATGTGTGGGAGAGGGAAAGGGCTTCCCCACCATCCAGTATCTGGTGAAGGTCTTGGTAGTATGGGCAGGAGTGGGGTCCTGCCCTGGAGTGAGACTGCACTCCCCAGCCCGGGTGCACCCTTGCTGGAGCTCCTTGACCTCGCTCTGGACCTGGTTGAGGGTTCAGGGGTGGTGTCCCCTCTGGGCCAGACCTTTAGCTTCCTCCTCCCTGCACAGCTCCAGGAGGGACAGGATCTCTGGCCCAGTCTAGGAAGGTGCCTGGCATTTGGTGCCCTTGGGTGGGTCCTGGGACCCCGGGGCTGCTCCCTGTGTGGGCCAGGGAGGTCTCATCTGTCAAGGATGCCCTGTGGCAGTCAGAGCTGTGTGGTCAAGGTCCTGCTGCAAGGCTGGCTTCCTGCCACAAGGCTTGTCCCAGGAGTCTGCAGCTTTAAGAGCTGCCAGGAGACAGGAACTACAGAGCTGTGATTACTGTGGAAGGAGTGTCCACCAGGGCACCTGTGCTTTTCCCTGGAGACCTCATATTTTCAAAAGAACTCTCTTCTGCGTCTTTCGGAAAAGGCATTCTTCCTCGTAGAATGAGGTTTACCAATGTTGGGAAAACCCCTGAGTTGTTTCGATTTTCTTTCGAAAGAACGCATTTGCAGTGTGGACATAGGTAATGGTTTTTTTGGAAAAACTACCTTTTTTCTGAAAAAAACCTGTAGTCTAGATGCACCCATAATCTGTAAATAATCTCTGCTCTGAGTGACAGAGCAATAATTGTTTCTAAGGATCCAACCCTACCGTCAGGTTATGGCTAGGCCACAAGAGTTTAAATATGGAGTCAGTTTCATCAAAGTGACTTTCATCATTCAACTTCTGCTTTCTTTTATCTTCTCCCCTTCACATTCCAGTTTTCTGCTGTTTTCCCATCATATCTACCTTCTCCCTGTGAATTCATTTATACCAAATTCTCTTTCTTCTTTTTCCAAACACTAATTCCCTTCTTTTATAGAAGCTCTTGCTTGGAAATCAAAATCCCAATTTTAAAAAATGAAAACTTGACTGGTATTTTGTTTGTCTAACTCTAGTGACTAGCTACAGATTTTAAGTAGGTATATATTGAATCTTTCATTATTTACTGATCTTAGCTATGTGGCAAGATGGGGCATCAAGAGACATCCAAGCTCCAAAGTTGTAATACTAAAGGAGGGAGGGCACCTCGGGGAAAAGTTAATTGTGACCATGTGAATCATGTCTTCTGTGGTATCCCTGTGATTCCAGGATCTCTAGTCCACTTCTTGGGGGGAGGTGGATGGGAAACATTTTAAGTGTCAGGCTTCACTCAGCAAATCTGGTTCCATCACTTTCCTGGAAAGTTGTTGTATCCCACACTTTGCTGAGATTTCCCCATTCAGAGCCAGGTACACTCAGGACGAAGGAGGCTCCCTGAGGGTTTGTCTACACTACCCTCCTAA